CTTATAATGTATTCAAGTGCACGTGATGTTCTAAGGAATAAAGTGATCAGTTGGGTATCATTCCCACGAGGATTAATTTATATGTTTTTATTAAGTACTAAGTTGATGTATCTAAATTAAATCTAACTATTATGTAAAAGATAATAAACTTTTTAAAAATCAAATTTAGCAATATAATTAAGAAGAAATCTAAATTTATGATTATCTAAAACCCCTTCAATTAAAGATGTGCAAAGTTTTTCAAATTTTAGTTGTCAATCAATGACACAATTATTTTTAAATCTCCATCAAGAGTTGAGAGACCCTACCATCTTATTACTAATTAGATATATTTATATCCTAATTAATTCATATGATGGAACTGATTAAGGTTCTTACTCGATTGTAATTCTCCAATGACTATATGTCGAAGCACCTGAAGAAAAGTTTGTTCCACCCAACTTGTTCCGCTTGATTTCTATCAAATTAGCAAGATTACAATAAGTTGTGAAATATTCTTGGTCAAAACATATTTAAATTAAGTTTTAAGTGAAATAAAATAACTATTTAAACATTTCATTCATAATTTCTAACACAATTTACTTGAGAATTTTAGATAGATCATATATCTTGAGGAAAATCATTTAATTCCTAGACATGCTTTATGAAAACAACAAAATTACACGATAAAACATAAAAAAATTGCTTAAGGAAGAAGATATAGAACTAGATTTTTCCATTTGAGACTAAATCTTCTTATTGTCAGATTCATTTGCATGATTTCCACACTTTTACATACACGCACGCACACGCACAATATTCACTTTTTACAAAAGTCACTTAGTATTCTATCTATACTTCACATTTACTCGTGTCCCTAAATCGAATTGCTTTAAATCTGAAATTAAAATCCTTATGGCTCCATCTCAAACCAAATTCCCCGCGGGCTGCGTGTCAGGATAAGCAGCTTATCCTGAAACGCACAAGCTGCCCCAAACAGACCCTTAGCTAACTTTCTTTTGGTACTTCACCCATATAACATTTCATATGGGAGGAATTCATTAATAATCAACATTAAATCCTTATGGCTTTAAATCCGCTCCATAAATCCTTATGGCTCCATCTCAAACCAAATTGGAACTATTCAGACAGTTCGTCACATTAAGGCACTATTAACTTGCACTGCAATGTTGTTTAAGTAACATTCCGCGGTGCTCTAATATAGTGTTGTACTACAAAGTTCTTTGGTTTTAGGCCCATTTTCTTGATAGGTTAGCACTATGACATAACATTACTGGCACGACAAAGCTCGACTCACATAGCTTCAATGCCAAAATATGGTTAAATGGAGCATACTCTTGAATTTTATTTCATATCAGCACTATGACATAACATTACTGGCACGACAAAGCTTGACTCACATAGCTCCAATGCTAAAATATGGTTAAATGGTGCATACTCTTGAATTTTATTTCATATCTGTCTCTACTAACACTACTATGCCACTTATATATTAGTACTACATTGCTATGTTCACAAGTTTTGGCCCTAAATTGGGTCCTATGGCAACAATGTAGTGGTGCTATCCATGCAACTTTTTTGAGTTGTGCTTTTTTTGAATAATTTTTGTCCCAAAAAAAGTACATAATTAATGCAAAAAAGTCACTAAATATAATTGTAAGTGCCATCTTTTTTTGAATATGTAAGTGCACATATTTTTTTCAAGTAATAAAATAGTGAATATAATATCATTGTCGTGAGGATCAAACTAAATGTTTTTTAGATTAATTACTCACATTTCAAATCTTAATTTTATCCAACAATTTGAAATTTATATTTGAAGAAAATGTTTTAAAGTAAACCCATACTAAACAAATTATTTTTTATGAGTTTTCTATTGAGAGATAATACTCTAAATTAATTATTTTCTTATAGTGAAACAAAACAAAAATATAATTAACCTAATTTTAATTTAGTGTTATTAATAAAAATTCAATATCATTCCTTCTTCTCTTGAGATAATATAGGAAATCTAATTAATTATATTTACTAAAAATTTCCTTCATACATATTTACTAAGAAATAATATAAAAAATCTAATCATTTATATTTACTAGGAAATCAATATCATACCTTTTCTATTCCAAAATTACTCTATAAACTCAAAGATTTATTTGATTTACATATAGGTCTTACAAAGTTTCAAGAAGTGATAAGCCAACCCACTAAATGAAGATTAATGGTCCGTTTGGGGCAACTTATTTGATGCAGTGACGTTTCGAAAACACACCTGACATGTTTGGGTAAACTGCGTTTTGGTAGCTTATGCGTTTTCAAAACGCCAAACACAGCGTTTTCAGATAGGTGCGGTGACAACTTTCTGGCAGCGGTCCGGGTCTGACTTTTCCAAAAAAAAAAAAAATTTGTAATAATCATCGCACATAGTTTATCAGCAGATTATTTAATAAGATGCAGCTGCCCCGAACAGACCCTAAGTAAACCAAAATAATTTTAAAATTTTTTATCTTACCAAGCAACATGAAAAAATGTATTTCATCTTTTATAAGTTAAAAGAATGGTATATTTTATGTAATATGAAAGATTTGGATGGTAAAGTTTAGATGTTGGATGTGTTAATACATAGTAGTTGGGTGGTACGGATTTAAATGCCTCTTTTAAATTAAATCAAATAAGGCTATAAAAATATCTAAATAATTTGTGCTTAAAAAATGTAATTCTAAAATTCTAAGAATATGTAGAAAACATTTCTAATTTTGTTTAATATTAAAAGGAGGATAACAATTGATAGTGAAAATATTTTAAAGCACTATTTGATTTTGTTTTTTATTTTTATTAATTTTTTTAAATATAGTTTTTGGTTGATTGTAAATACAAATTATAGTTTTGAATAGTGATTTATTTTTATTAATATATTTGTGCACAAAATTATATGAGGAAAGTTTTGAAAATTTTAGATTAATATTAATTTTTAAATATGATTAATTAAGAAAAAAATCTAATAACAAATCAAATTTATTATTTCTAAAATTTAATAAATTTCAAGAAATTAAATGAGTTCTGTTATGATATATAAAAAAGAAATTATTTTCATATATCACACAAATCTTTTATATACATACATGACTTGATATATTAGACAAATAAATAAAAAATGTGTGATGTTTATGAACATGAACTCTTAATTAAACATGTGCGATCCATCAGCTTGTGCCTTAAATCCCGAGTTTAGGCCATAACCTCCTCTAAAGCCTAAGAGCCAATTTTGAGTGACTTTTCAACGACTTTCTGCTTTGAAGAGCAAGTTATGGAGTGTTTGGGAGCCCATATTTTAGCTGCATTTCTTAATATCTTATTCACAAAATAAGGTTTTTGCGAACGACTGGGCAGTGCTGGGTTTCGTGGAACGAACTATGGTGGATGGGTAAATTACACTACTACCCTTTAACCTTTTCTATTATTTCCATGTTTTATGTGCAATATCTTTCTTGATCTTTGTGGCTACTCCCCCATCTTCTCTGCGAGCATCGTGTGTTGGAGTTTTATGTGACATACTAGTGAGCAACTTTTCTTGTTTGCCTTCCTACACTCAAATCACTTATATGTATCTCATTTTTCCTCTTTTGTTTTGGTCACACAAATAAGCTTTCTTTTGCCCTGCTCTCATTTTTTTCTTCTCAATTGTCTGATTTTCAGAATCTGATCTTCTCAGTGCAAGTACGTGTTTGATTGTTTGTTTAGTTGTGCTTTCGACACTATTTGGATTTTGCATTCCATGCTATCTACTTCAAATTTGCATTACATAAATCCTAATATATATATATTTTTTGTTTTATTGCATATGTAGTCTAATTTGTCAATGAAACGTAACATATTATAATATCATGAAAAATGAGTTCAAGGTCATAAAGTACTGCAAGAGTATTGTACTGCGGTTTTGGTATGCATTGTTCGGAAACATTTCAAGGAAAATAAAAACCGGTATGAGAACAGATTTTATTGATGTCACAAAAAAAAATGATATATGAAGATTGCAATTTTTTTTGATGTGCTGATGATATGAAGGAATTTATTCTTGATAGTGAATAATATGAGTGTAAACGAGCCGAACACGAGCGAGTCCAGACTCATTTATATTTCGAGCTCAAAAAGTGTGTTCGTGTTCGACTTGTTTGCTTGACGAGCCGAACACGCGCTGTTCACGAACAAAGAGTTATTTTGACAACCCTAATAACGTAGCCATAAGATGTTAACGATTGGGGCAAGATTTAAAACATCATTTGAATCTAATTTAATAATTTTTATTCTATTTTCTTAATTAATACTTTTGATTTATTATAAATCTTAGTAGCATTCTAGTCTATTAAATACAACTCATCAATATATATATATATATAATTCATTAGTAGTATTTCGAGCCAAAACTAGCCAAGGACTAACGAACAAAAAATTTGTTCGTGTTGTTCGTATTTAACTTGTTAACTTAGCGAACGAGTCGAACACGAGCTTCTTAACGAGCCGAACACGAACTGTTCGCGAACAACGAGCCATTTTGACAGCCCTAGTGAACAAACTAGATACGATGTTATGGACATAAAATTATTCTAAAAATTTGATCGTTTGGACACGAAAAAGAATATCATCATAGCTTCCTTATTGTTACTATAGTTATGATTATTATGTGTAAAATAATTTCTTAAATTGATGTATTGATCATTTTTTGTAGTGTTAACGTTATTTCTATTATTTTATTATAATTATTTGAAAACCTACAATCATTCAATAAATTTATATCTAGAAGCGTATAACTTTATTAACAAATATTTTTCTTAAATAGCAATAAAAAATAATTGGAGATCCAGCTTTTAAATATTCCCTCCGGTGCACGCTAACGTCATTACCTAATATCTGCCATTATTGCGATCCCGGCTAAGCAAAACTCTTCAGCAGGGACGCCTTATCCGAGTCTCTTCATGATAATATTATAAATCGGAAGCCTCCCCGAAGTCACCGCAAACCTTCTTTATTTCATCTCGTGTTTGTTTCTGCGTACGTTTCGGCCCTGGAGTCGAAATCAGCTGGCAGCCGGAGGCGAGGAAGGTTATGCAGGAAGGCGTCCAGGTATCGGTTTCAATACTCTCTTTCGCTTGGAATTGTGTATCATATGTTCGTTCTGCTTGGATCGGTGGCGGCATACTCTCTTTCGCTTGGAATTGTGTATCATATGTTTCGTTTTGCTTGGATCGGCTCGGTGGAGTTTAGGGTTATTCTTAGGCAGGATTACTAGGGTTTTTAATGACATATCGGCAGTAGTAGATGTCTTGAATTAGGGTTTCGAATTGTTTTAGGGGTATGGATTTTTCTCGGCATCAAATCGGCGAGTCATTAGACATGCGTTTTCTTTTCCGCTTGTGTGAGTTTAAAGCGTTGAAATTGGATTTATAGAGTAATTGTGAAAAAGGGATTGGCAGATTTTTTAAGCTAGTGACGTGTGTAATTTGAACGATAATCTCTGAAGCTGAATGCCACGATAAAATTCCAGTTCGTTTTATATTTATACTGGGGATGCAAAGAGTGGAAATATTAATTTATGTGAGAATTTGGCCGAGCACCTTGTACGTTGTAGGAGGGCAATAAAATCGGATGGGAAATAGCATTAAAATTATTGATTATGGATTGCAGAGCTGTTCTCTGCAAGGATATATAATTTTATTGATCATGGATTATATAACCATCATAAGCAATGAATGTTTAATCTACTGCATGAGATTTGAGATTTGATATTCATAGTGCAGCTGCAAGTGGAAATGAATAGCAGAACCTTAATCGAAAAATAGTAGGGTTCACTGGGTTTGCTGAAGCAAATTAGTATGATTACTGCTCATGTCAAAATTTTCAGTAATACTGCAATACAAGAGCTTGTTGAGCTTCTTTTACCTTCGTTGAAGGAAGTTTACTGTTTGGAAGCTTTATGATGTGAGATAAAATGCATTTATTTTATTATTTCATCATAAAGGTGGAAAGGAAATTGTATTTGACTATTATTTTTTAATACTTTGTTTGCTATGTGCATGCGTAAGTGTTAAGTTTTTCTGTAGGTAGAAAATCGTCTTTTATGAGTATGGGAAATATTTGATGTTGCATATGAAAGCAAACAAATAGAGTTATATTATTCATAGCAATGGTGCACATGCTGTTTTATTTTCCTTGATGAACTGTGGCAAGTCTCTTGGTTGGTAATGTTCTAATTTTAGATTTGATTTGGTATACAATATATTTTTTTTGTTGCCAATTATTATGGAACTGCTTTTGTAATTCAGGATATTGATCTCGTTGGATTTGGTAGTAGTTTGGACCAGGTAACTTGGAACATTGTCAAGCTATGAGTGGAATCTACATATATATGGTTAACAAAATCATCACTATATCAATATCCCAACTATTTGGTGTTGGATTTTTGAATCTTAGTTCATTTTTGCTTAGTGTCGCATGGGTGATTGAAATTTTTTACATCGCTACTTTGGCACAAGTTTAAACCATTTTTTTTTATTTTACCTAATTTTTGTTTTTCCTAGTTGTTCTACATTAATTATCTACCATCCTTAGTGCATCCTTTATCTTTTGTTGTACATAGTCGAACCATATAAGTTTATTTGCTTCTTATATTTATTAGTTCTATTCCGGGACATCTCTCATGTAATCTTTTTTCACTCCATCATCTTAGTTTTTGTCACATATTCTTCTTAATACTCTCATTTTTGCCATATTCAACTTGGCTATTAATAGGTTTTTAATTGCTATCATTTATATCCATATTGTGCCCCTATTTTAGTTCATGTATACTTTGCCTTAACACTCCATGATAATCTTCTTTAGCAC